GAGCTTGGCGTTATGTTGTTAGATTGTCGTGCAACTGTGCGTCTACAAGTCAGCCTTCAGCAGCAGAACTTTTATTTTTTTTCCAACAATTCTTGTTTTTCCTAAATAAAGCGCATTAGCATGAGCTTCTACAAGTATTGTATGTATGTGTATGTGCTCGTTCACTGGTTCGTTGTGCCAGTTACAATTTTGGTAATTTCTATTTTCGCTTGTTTTGCTGCGACAACTTGGCTGAAATGGTCATTGGCCATTTTTAATGCGCCTCAAGGCTTCTCGCAGACAAGCTTTTAAGGCTACACACACATACATACATACATATATACACTTGTAGATCATTGACGTTCGGTCGCTTCTACATTGCTTAACTTTTTCTTTACAATAATCTATTTTGTTTGTTGTTTTCTATTTTGTTGTATTTTACTTACTTAACTTTTCTCGTTTATAGCTCACTCTTAATTGATCTGGCTGGTCTTTATGCGTGTCTCTGTGTATTTGTCTTTTTGCTTACTTTTTATTTTATTTTGTTTTGTTTATTTTTAGGTTTTCTCGACAAGATCTTTGACTTTTCCAGCAATTAGCGCGCGAGTAGAAAGCGTACTGATGAAACGAGTTTATTAATCTCGGCTTAGAACTAACTAATTTATTCAGTTTAAGCGTTTTTTGTTTTTTTTTGTGTATAAAATGGTAGTAAGTAGCTAAGTTGTGGTAAGCAGTGTGCTGTGTTTTAGTGTAGCATCAATTTTAATTCATTACACTTTTGGAATATTTATATACGAGTTATGAGTTTATGTATGGTATATATTTTGATGGAGTAGATCCAGCATCAAGTATATGCTTTGGGAACGAGCTTATAGTGAAAACTAACATCAAAAATACGTAAAGTGTACCTTCTTTGGTATTTTGGTTAATTACATACCAAAACATAGTTTTTTAGAACTATTTCCCACTTGCTTATCTGACAAACGTGCTAGTATTAGCAAAAGGGGGCTTAATATATAGGGTATAGTAGGAAAACAAGATGTATCAATGGCTCTTCTCCAACCCTTCAAATCTCAACAACCGAAGTATTACATGTAATTCAAAGACTCCAAAAATTCTTCTCACACCTCAAAGCTGTTAAACACCAAAAGAATAAAAAGTGAGTCCATACAATATCATTACCAAAATGCTTAGGAATCTGAGCGGAATCAATATAACCATATGCGCCTAAAAGTATGTTACAACGAAGTATGTTAAAACACCGAGAAATTTTTAAAAACCCCGAGCTAAATTCGGATCCCTGGTTACATATCCCATACTGGGGTGAACAGTATTTTGTATGTCATTTTACTATAACAAAGATTCTTACAAAAATCCATAATATATTATCAATAAAAAAAATCAGTGGATAAGCCAAATGAAGTGGACGGGAATCAGAGAGAGCAGAGTTGCTTCGCTACTACCTATTCACTCTTAATTTGGATATGTATTGCAAACAATACGACAGTCTTAAAAAAGCAATCTCCTGAAGCTTTTTTGGGAGGTTTTAAAGCATTCATCTTACAGTCTGGACCTAGCAGCAAGTGATTACCACCTATTCTTGTATATGGCGTATGATTTTGCTGGTGAAAAATTCGCCTCAAGAGAAGCTTGAGAAAATCGACTGTCTCAGCTTCTTTTGCCAATAGTAATGTATCTTGCTATGAGAGTGGCATTATGAAATTACCCTTAAAATGGCAACAAAACGGTGCATATTAGCGAAAAATTTAAAGAAAAAAATGGATTTCTTTTTAATTGACCTCTAAGAAAGTGTCGTCAGAAGCAGACTATCTAACTTCTTTTAATATTTTTCTCGGTGTTTTGAAATTTTGCGCAGTAAAAGGTTTCACAAATGGATTTATTGGCAATGAAAGTAATATAACATTTTTTATTCACTTATTAAAATTGAATATTGGCAGATTTGCTGGCAACTCTCAATTCTTCTTTGTAAGCAGGTAATAGTCCTTTTAAAGCTACTCAATTGAGGAAAATATTTTATATTCACTAAAACTTCAATTGCATGCTATAATTTTCGATTTTTCCACCACTAAAATTATCTTTTGCTGCAAGGTAATTGTGAGCTCATTGTATTTACATTTCCAAAACTCAATCCGTATGTCTTCATTATTTCAATATTTGCTTTTATTGCCTTTGAATAACTTAGAGTTTTTTTTTTTTGTTTCTTCCTTTTAACGGCTTTTATGTGTCTTTATGTTAAATGTGAAATTGGTAGCGAAAAGTCAAGTTTGTTTTCAATGATAATTTCTAGCTTGTTAGACTACTTTTCCTTTTATGGCAAAACTTTGGCGTACACATATGACAAACGGGCAGGCAGACCCGCTGGTGCCTTGTTCATTTTAATGCCATATTTCAACTGCCTGCTCGCGATTTTCATAAATATATTGGGTTGGAAAAAAAACTGACTTGTGAATGGAATATAATTATCTCAAATTAAAGCCAGTAGCGCTTGCTGCTGTTTCATTTATTTATTTTTTTCATTTATTTTTAAGAAAACTTAAACTTTATTTAAAATGAACTATTAGGTATAACTTATCAAAAACATAAACTGTAGTTACTGATGGGAAAGCCTATAGGATTTTTTTAAACTAGAAAGTATCGCAGTTTCCGGCCAGATGGCAGTAGAAAATCGTCCAGCACCATCAATTTCAATGGGCTTTCTAAACTGGCTTAAATGCTCTTAGCAGATTTATCAACCATTAGACGTAATAGTACCCTTAATTGCGCTTTTTGGTTCTGGGTAATATTCGGAAAGCACACTCTCTACATTTTCAAGTATTTCGTAACTTGTTGCTATTTGTATCGAATTCCGCAAAAACTCCCAAAGTGATTCCAAGTGTTACTGTATAATTTTAGAAATTCGGAGTTTATTTAAAATTTTTAAACTGTGCAACCTATCTATGAGGGGGCGAGTGAGGGGAAAATGTGTCAAATCAATACTTCGTGTTTCTGAGAAGTGTTAAATGTCATATTTCATAAGCATTTTCAAAAAGAAGAATAGTCAAAGACGTACTCAAACAATAAGTGTCTCTAACAAGAACACAATAAGTTGTAACAATGAATACTGAATAGTGATATAATATGTATATGACACATAGAATTTACACAGAGAATTAGGTAACTTCAAAACATTTTAACAAGAACATATTGAATTCTATCAACATATTGGAAAATAAACTGAATAAAAATATTATTCACAATAATTTAATATATACAAACATTACAAAGTGTTTTTGGGAGTCTACTTTATCACTAGCATAAGTATTTGAGTGGCACAAAGCATTCAGTGAAGATTATGAAATCATTGAAAACTTGCCTAATGCCAGTTGTCCATCCTCTTTCTAAATTAAATTTACTTTATTTTTCTAAATTAAATTCTAATAAACGAAATTAAGTCTTAAAAGTGATATTTCAAAAACGTTCGACCGCAGCGCTGTCTAAGGAATAATTTGTTGTAGAGACTTACGGAATCATCATATTGATAGAACTTATTGAGAGGTTATATCTACTTGTGAATTTCAAGAAATCGTCTCTTTCTTTACACATATATAAAATGTACATATACTTGAGAATATTCTTCGAAAATTTAAAATTTATCTGGCATATAATTTCGAATATTTGAGCCTATTTGTAAGAACCTTTTGACTTAGTGTAATTGGCGCCCAAAACTTTAAACGCGATTTTCTCGAAACAATGTATTTAAAATCGATGAGAAAAATTTCTCCTAAATAGCTAGATCGATTAGTTTAAAATTTTCACACGGTTGTCCCTAATTTATGTGTAATCTTCTAAGGTTTTGACAATAATTTCGATTTTGTAAGCAACCCTGTTTTATAAATTATTTCACAAAAACGACTGTTTTCGGTAGGTCGCCATTTTATTATTGTAAAAATCAAAATTATTGCTAGTCCTGCGTTCATTAACTGTATTCTTCTAAAGCGATAATAATTTTTTTTTCGTTTTTTTGGTTTTTGGATTTGAGATAATTTTAAGCAGAAATATCTTACTCAGTGCCGGACACATTTTTTCAGAGGTCCTCCTGGAGATCGGCTTCAGGATAAAGGAAATCCAAAATTTATAAAAATTAATTATGCATTATTAATGAATAATAAATTCTGTAAATTTATATAATTTTGATTTATCTTTTAAATAAAATGCCGCTTTCCAAAAAATTCATAAAAACATGTGTTTTTTCTGGATATAACCCCTTAAACAAAACTATTAGCAATTCTTGTAATAAAATTTTCATAACGTTTTATCGAAATTTCATATTTTACAATTTATTTTTATAATTTTTTATCAGCTCCTCGCTATCATTAAATATTATTTTTAGTATTTTTTTATATTTTTTTTTTTGCACTTATATATAAATTTATGTTCACAAATGCCCCAAGAAAATATTATTCCCACAGTATCAATATAAACACGAAATGCAGAAAATATAGCAACAACAAACAAGCATGAGTGTAGATTGTTTTCATTTCCTATTTCCTGACATTAACTTTTTATACCTAGTACACGGTATAAGTCAGCAAGCCGTTAAACTAAGCAGCCGAGTAGCAGCTGAAGACACTTGAGTAAAGTGGAATTAGAATTACACAAGACGAGTATATTGAATAAAAAAAAGCACATTGAAGCGACGAGAAAAGCAAAAGTTCTGAAACCGAGACACTGAAGTGCAGTTTCATAACTTTTGTGATTTCCCGCATATTTATTGTTGTACTTATTTTTAGATTTCTTATTTCATTATTTGCTTACGGCTCTGAATAACACATGTGCTAGCAGAAATCGCTCGTGTACAATTTATATTATATATACATACATAAAAGTACATGTAAACATATACATACATGTATATGAAAAAGTATATATGTAACTAAGTGCTTTGAGCCAAACAACCCAAAGATGGTATGCCGGAAAGCACTTGTGTTGCGGGAAGGCAGACGCATACAGTCTTTACTCACCTTAAACTGTTGACTATAGGTCTATATGAGCACTATGGTGCTATTTCCGCCGTGTGGCAAAGCCGCTTAGTGTTGCGCTTTTCTTTGTTTTTGTTGGTTTTTGCTGTTTTTTTTTGTAATTTTTTCGGTTCTTTATTATTTTTGCTTTTGTTGCGATTTTTTGCCTGTATTCTGCTTTTAAATGGCGTGCTGAGCTTATTAACTTTGTTTTATTGCGTTTGCCTGAGCGTCACCTCAATAGCTTGGGGTAGGTTGCTCACGCTTGTGTGCGATTTGCAACACTTAATGGATTAAATGTGTAGGAAAATTGCAACAAAAAAAAAAACATACTTTGTTGTTGCTTTTGTTAATTGTTTTTTTGCGTTTAGTGTTCTCACCATAAAGGTAAGGTGTTTAATAAGCAAAAAAAAAATATTAAAAAATTTTCTTTGTATAATATTATGTATATTATATATATTTAAAAAAAATTTTAAATTATGTTTATGTTTTCGTAGAGATAAATGATTTGCCTAATTATAACGCGAATTAAAATTTATGATTTAGCGTAAAATATTTTTTTCTTTCCTTTTATGAGTGTTGTTTTGGTAGAGAAATTATATTTTTTATTTATTTCCTTTTGCTTTAATTTGCTTTCGTTGTTGTAGAAAAAATTTGTTTTTCGTCAATTATAGCGCGAATTAGAATTGCTGATTTTGATATTCATATACAATAAGCATTATAAACATATATTTGTGTTTTCAAAAATTAAATTTTTTTCACTCAGCATTTCGAAAAATACTCCACACATGAATTTTTATTTCAAAAATTTTTTTAAATCGCAAGCACAGTAGCAAATCACTTTAAAAATCAACAACAGCTGAGCAAATCGCTGACCAGAATATTAGCCAGCCAGTCAGGCTGCTAAAATTGCCTTGTGACAGGAATAACTGTTCACGCCTAATTTCCGACTTCTGCCTAGCACGGCTGGAAATACAGCACGTATGCCGACACACACTCGTAATATTTCGCACACACCTCTAAAATTTAAATATTCGTCAAAATTTTTTTGCAATTCCTAAGTTCCGTACGATTTTAACACAAATGTGTAAATTTTCGCATTTAAAATAAAATTCCGTACGAAATTAGCACAATAACCGTTACCAATACGCCCGTTTGCCTACACGCACACACACACATTTGTATGTGGCATATGCGAAAATTGGTAGCTTGCACATCCGATTTGAGCATCCGCAACGCAGCGACAACGAATTCCAACTGTCCGTCGCGAACGCAGTGAACGTGTGCACAAGTGCAGTCCAATTGGACGTCATTCCCGACTTGAGCACTGCAAGTTGCTTCGCTGCCGAGCGACTGAGTGTCGGCGCAATGCAAGCGAGTTCGGATGAATTGTGGATGGTGTGTGTTTGCTGCAATTTTCTGCGGCGATGTTTTTTTTTTTTCTTGTGCCCCAACAAAAGCGAAATTGTTTTTGGCACCAAAGCGGCAGCAATGACAATTGGTTGGGGAAAAAATTGTAAACAAAAGTGTTGTAGAAACTCAGCGGTGTTTGTGTGTGTTTGTAATTGCGTTAGAAGAGAACTTACAATTGCTGGCAGATAATGCTTGCTGCTGCTGGTCTAAGTACAGTGGGACAAATTGCATATTCGTTAAACAAATACGGTGATTAGATTTACTTCATTTCTTCTATTTAGTCCCTTTTATTTTCTTTAAAATAATATCTAAAAATTGTAGAAACTAAATTTGACTAGTTCAAAATCCAACGCTATATTGCTAAAGGTCCCGGATATACTTTTATTAACTAGTTATATGAATATGAAAAAAGCTCCATGAGTATTTTCCAGCCTAATTCTTTCTTTTGACTTATGACTGAATATTTAACATTGATAAGGTCTAAACAATTTTTTTTTTTATAGAAAATCGGTTGTATAAATACCCACAGAAGGACGTAATATATTTCTACTTTGAATTTCTAACATTAACAAAATTGGGTTTTTGATGAGTAGTCAAGGCCTCCATTTTTTCTTTCGACTATTCCAGATAATACTGTGTTTCTGTGTAGAATTTTTGTTCATCAGTATGATGAGCGGTCGAAGCTTTATAAAACTTGAAAGACGAAAGTAATGGAAAAGCTAAGAGTTCATAAAGAAGACATTTGGAATACTTTATCGTTGAGGAGATGACGATTATGTAATATTACCTATTTTACAGAGACATAATATTTAAATAAGGCAGCAAAGTTCCAAAAGTTTCAGAATCTCGAGGAATTTATGTTGCAAGTTATTTAAAAGTTTAGTATAGAGTCCACAAATCCTGGAGAAGAGCTATAGATGTCGAACCATAACAGACTTGAAAGGAGCATAAATCCAATTACATACCGCAACTTTTATATCCTTTATGAGTGCATTTTTTCGACGTTTACTTCATGACAAACTTAATATATCACGTTCAGAGTATAACATAACTGTTCAGGAAATAAGTAAAGTGGCTCCTTGAATTCAATTGTTCTACAATGCAAATGCTCTCCACTAAATACACTTCGTTTACCACTCAACTGATTACATATATGATAATAAAAGTCTAGTACTAGTAACCAGTATATGGGTATGTAAACCGGTAAGTGAACGTAAACAATGAATTCGTGGAAATTGGTAGCAACAAGGTGACGAATGACTCGGAAAATGAACTTCACATGTTTTCCACAATTAACGCTCTCTATCGCTCTCTTTTACTCCCGGTTGCTGTCGCTTACGCTCTTTGCAAGCACTGAATGTTTGGTGAGTACGCTTTTATTCTTTTGTTTTATAGGTATTTTTCCTTTTGTTGATTGTTGTTCAGCTGATTTTCGCAATCGGTCTTCTTGCCGGCTTTTGCTTTTGTTTCGCATTATTGTTGTTTTGTATGTGTGTGTTTCGGCTGCTCACGTGCAAGTGAGAGTGTATTTGTTTGTTTGAATGCGTGAGCCGGTGTTTGTTGGTCGTCGTTCGTCAGCTGCTTTTATTTTGATTTTTCTTTTGCTTTCGTTCAACGTGTATCTGCGTTAAGTGCTTTGCAGTTGTTCTTGTTGTTGGCGCTTGACGTTGTTTTAGGGTGGCAGCGCTGTCAGTTAATCTGTCAGCCGAACAGTCACGTCTTCGTTAGCGCCACATCGCGTTTCCGACAAGAATCTTCTGTTCTGTTCGTTGAGGCGTTGAGTGGCATTGTGTTTTTGCTTTTGTTGTAATTTTCTATTTTTATTTTTGCTCGCTTAAAGGGTGGTTGGCAAGGCGACCGCAGCTGTTCTGCGTAGTTATTGTTGTTATTATTGATTCTATTGTAAGCGCAATTCGGCGTGATGTTGATTGTTTTCGTTGTTGTTGTTGCTGCTGTTGCTGTTGTTGATGCTGACGTTGCTGTTGCGTGCTTTGTGCGTTGAGGCAGTCGCGTGAGTTACGCGCTCGGCAGTTAAATGAATGGAAATGACGAGTTTTTCGGCATTTGTTATGTCTTCGGAATTGAGGGTGGGGAGGCAGCAGCAATTCTTGACGTACGTATGTAGTTACATATACATATATATATATATTATATATATATATACATATATTATATATATATACCTACTTTAGGTACAAAGGCATATGATTTTTTGATGATAGTCCACCCCTAATTGGTTTGGTTGTGGAGCAGAAGTGGCGAGGTTTTCGCTACGAAGATTGTGAAAATCCCAAAATGCTCAGACATGATTTAAAATTTTCAAGGGTAGACACCCACACACACATACATACATGTGCAGTTATTTTTGTGAATTTACAACGGATGTTCGTGGATGTTTTAAGTGAATTTACGGTTTATGTGGGTGGGTATATGTATGTATGTGTATGAGAGTAGATATATAGTAGAGCTGCAAACTTTCCAGTTTCAAGGGCGTTTTTAGAATTTATGGTGGTATTTAAAAGTGTATTAAAATTTCCAATAAACAAGAAAAAACGCTAATTTCGGTTGCACCAAAGCTGGAATAGACTCCATAAATAAAACGGTTTCCACACACGAACTTGATTTTGACCGGTTGTCGGTTATATGACAGCTATAAGTTATAATGCTCCGATCTAAAATATTTAACTTTCAGAAATACTGTTGTATATTGTGTAGCTCTTTTCTACACAAAAAGCAGTCGCTTTTGCCTCAGATAAATTCCTAACCTCAAAATTATACTCACTAAGTATTATTTTACATCTATGAAAATACTCGATACCAATATTAAAGCTTGCTTCGAATTTTTTCGAAGTATCAATACACTATTTCTGGACTTTTTGATTTTTTTCATGTAGGAGTAGCTAATCAAAGCAACAAAAATTTACTTTGAAATATTATTAAGTAAGTAAATATATACTGTTACCATATCTATAACCCAAATCTTTTAACTTTCTGCTTTATGTGTTCACTCCTTCACCACACAAAATCACCGTGTTTTGTTTTTTTTTTTTTTGCTTTTATGTTTCCGTTCGCGTTTTGCACTTTTTTTGCACGTTCTTGAGCTGCTGAAAGACATAAATTTTTCGGCTCACATTTATTGATCAATGTTTGTTGGCCAATTCAAAACGAGTTTGGAAACAAGTTTCGATTTTGTTTAATAACTGGTTTCAATAAAAGGTTCTTCCCTACAGGCATTGGCCAAAAGCTAAATTGAAAAAATAAGCAAATAATGCTTAAAATGAAACCAATTGGACAAACCTGAGAATGTGATTAAAGAAATACAAAGGCAAAAAAGTTCAGTTACTTTAAATGAATGAGACGAAATTTCAATTTGCCAAATCCACAAACATTGATTCTTATACGGTCTGAGATGGGAAAATGATGTAATTAATTTTGCTTAAAGGAAAAGGGAAGGTATGATACATAAACAAAGCTTTCAATTACTTTAATTACATTGAGACAATTTTTCGCGAATACGTGAATAAAATAAACCAAAAAATTCAAGATAGGATAAAGATTGGATGTGGAAACTATAGTATCAAGACAGAAGACAAATATTTCTTCTTCCTGGACAGTCGGTTTCACATCAACGGAATTAAATAATTTTACTCACCATTTCTAGACTTACTTTTCAGGGTACCTTAGCATTGATGGTACCACTGATTTAGTGATATAATATATTTTATTCGGTAAACGAAAGAGCTTAATGAGGAATAAGAAAACATTAGACGAAAGATCGGCAAGATATTAAAAAGTATCAATAAAATTAACTTGATCGATGAGATGCCTGGAATGACAATGCGACGAAAATAAAGATAACTGGAACTAGAGATTTGTTACCAACCATAATAAACTAACAATTTCAGAATATTTTCACTCATTTTTTATCATTTCGGAATGCGATTGCGGCAAAAGCTTCATAAAAAATTAAATATAAATTGAAAGACGCGAAACGAAGATAAATTTCATTACATGTTTTTATTATTATTTTCTAGAGCTTTTAAGAACCTAAAGGATATAGTATTCTTTCACTTTTTCATTTAGATCACTTGGAAAATTTAATGTCTTTCTCTAAAACTAATCTGAAAATTTGTTTATTGCCTCCAAAATTTGCAATGAAATACTTAATATGGAGTCTCTCTGAGTTTGATCTAGTCTTGGATCTACATACATCAGAAAAAGCAAAGAAGAAAATTTAAAGAAATTTCATCAGCCGAACTGGAGAAATATAAAACTGTATTTTGAAAGAAGTGATGTAACTACTTAAATTAGCGTAAAATAGTGCATTGACACCTTAAAGTTTTTTCAAAAGTGAAAACAAAGCTTCGATATTAAAGGCAGTGTTCTCAGTTTCTTTAACCCTATACAAACTTGTGTTTGTGGAAAGAATAATAATCAATTGTAAGGGTCTAATGGGGGAATGAAGTGATTATATTATATAACCTATCATTTCCATATGACACCCTTAGCCGCAAAGGTGTGGTGATCCCTGTTATCATGAAGGAGGCTCTGTCGACCGTGTACTTATCATTCTACCCACATAGAGAAAGTTCTGTTGCTGTTATGTCGGCTTGGACGTCAGGTGGCAGCCCCAGCTTCCTTCTGCCCGTATATAAGCGAACTAGTCTCTCAGTTTTTGAGATATCGATCTGAAATTTTACACACGTCCTTTTTTGCACCAAACGCTGCTTATTTGTTCGAACCCTCAATATTGGATCACTATAGCATACAGCTGCCATACAAACTGCACGGTGAAAATCATGTCCTTCTATAGAAAACTTTTTTATTTGACGAGATATCGTCACGAAATTTGGCATGAATTACTGCCCAAAGGAATGGTATAGTTTTTAAAGAAATTGTTCAGATCGAACTACTATAGCATATAGCTGCCATACAGACTGACCAATCAAAATCAAGTTCTTGTATGGAATCTTTTTTATTTGTAAAGTGTATTAAAGCTTTGTTGCAAACTAAGTTAACGTTTTTTCTTGGTATGTTACTCCAAATTTTTATTAACGATTTTGAATTTTTGTAACAACTTCATTCGTAGTAAAAACCAATTTAGTTTTAAAAATTAAAAAATAATAAGTTCATATTCATAATCTCTTGATGATACCCTTCCTTGTCCACACATATTGTGTTCATTTTATTTTAAATCTTATTTATTTAGATGCAATACGATCTCGGCAATCTATTAATACTCCTGAAACTTTTTGCATTATTTGCGTGCACAATGCGAGCAGGACTTTAGCGGTGTGTAATCGCATAAGCGCGTAGCCAAACATAACGCCCATTATGTCGAAGCGCTGGCGGCTAGAACCTCCTTCACTTACTCATGTTGAGCATTTAACTCCACACACACACACACACACACACACACACACAAATATACAAGTGTCAGTGGAAATAAACGCCTGCAATTGCGGCACTTGTAAATGCGTTGAACATGTTGCATGCAATAAAATGCGCCTGCCGAATCGAATCATCGATACTTGGCTGGCTGACTCCATTGACGGCTGCGTGCTGTAGGTGGACCTGTGTTTTATGCTTTAGGTTGTACTTTATTGCCGCGCTCAAGTTCAAATGCGTTGCACGTTCCGCATAAAATTCAGCGACCCGCCCGCTTCAAGGCATGGTCCGACTATTAATATGGAGTATTTGTAAATATTTGCATGCAACTCATGGCCGCAAGGTAGGTAAACGCATTGTAAGCGTGCGTTTTTTTTGTTTTTAATATGTAACTAAATCTGGCTAAAGAAAAGCATAGATAACTTGCTTTGACAAGAAATCTATAATATCGCACGATGGGTGGTTTACAAATCTTTATTGAGTTCAAGCAAAATATATTTGGTGCGCACGTTTTCAAATTTAGAATACATTTTTGAAGTTGTTGAAATTAGTAACCCTCTGTGTGATTAAAGTAAAGGCAAAACAAATAATAATTTTCAAAATCGACTAACTGGGACAAACTAAGTACCAACTCAGTAGTATACCCTTTCTCAGCAGAAATATACTTTTGGCTAAGGAAAATACGCAGTTGTATAGTTACTTCTACTTATATATATCTTTGCAGATAATTGATTCACCTTTCACTTGCCCTTTATAGAATATTATATATCTCGAATTACCGATACCCAAATCAATGAAAATGTTGAAAAAAGCTAAAACTAAATGCTAGGCAGCTAAAATTACCTTTACTTTAGAGTCAAAAAGGTAGAATACAAAAATAGCAACAAAGTAAAATGCCGACTTAAATAATGGCGTAGAGTATTTGTTGCAAAATGAAAAGAATCAAAAATAAGTATTTAGTAATTCAGAAGTGAATGATCGTTTGGTGGAGACAAATCAAACCCAGTAGGTATATGTGAGTTCTACTATAATATAATATATTAATAATTATTTTTACAGGCTGAAAAGGATATATTAAGTTTGCCACGAAGTTCGTAAAAGCTAAAAGGAAACGTCGGAGATCACTCAGTTTTTCAGATATCGATCTAAAATTTACTTTGCATTAACTGATCAAAATCAAGTTCTTGTAAAGAAAACATTTTTTATTTGACAAGTGTGACGATACAAAACTTATGTTCGAAGCATCCGTTGAGACTAAACCGATTATTTATCGGCAACTATCGATAACAATTCGTTCTTAATATGCAGCTTTGTTTACTCAGCAAAGAAATTTAAAAGGCAAGTCACGGAAAGTGAGTATTTATTATAAGAATGGGCAATAAATTGGTTGCACAAGTTACACAATCTTTATTATAGATTTATATAGAAAAATAGATATATTTTTTTAGATATTTAGTAAGAAATGTAAAAATTTCCCTTTTGTAAATTACATTTTAAAAACTAATCAAATAAAAAAATATTTCCTAAAATATTTATTTCCGAAAAAATTTTTTTTTTTATATTAATAAACTTAAAAAATCGCAAACTTAAATAAATAATTAATAAATTTTTTTTTTAATATTTAAATATTACAAATATTAAAAAAAAAAAAATTTTTTTTAGCTTCCAAAAAATGATATCAAATTTAAATTAACAGCGCACAAACACTACCCAATTCAGGCAGTAGCTTGCTTACAAGCACATTTCACACTGGGCTACTCCAACACTCACATACACACACATACACATACATAGATAAAGCCACCGAAGTGCTGACCGTAGTCACGACTGTTTGCTGCCAAAACTGCTAATGTGCAAAGGAGGATGATGCTACTTGCCCGCCAGCATAGACCAGTTCATGCAAGCGCGCACAAGTTGCGCTGCTAAAAACAATACAACAACAATAATAACAAGAATAAACAACAATAGCAATAACAAATCATAAAAATTAAAAATGAAGAGTTAAAAGGACGCGAGAAATCTGCAGACGATGATCGCAACGGCATGCTGGATTGGCAATTTGAACGCTTTTGTCTGGTCCAGCGGACAGCAGGAACCCTTAGCTTATATAGTTACATAGTTTTCGACTTTTCGTTTTGATTGCGGTGATAAAGTGGCAACAAAGCATGAAAGAACTGATAGAAAAAGCGGAAAAAAGGAGTGAAAACAAATGCATAAAAATAAGCAAAACAAAAAAAAAACCTTTATTTCATTGCTGGCAGCAAACTGGTTGGTGAAGATTTATTTGAATGGGTGTGTATGTAAGTCCAGCACTTTTACTTGTTGTAGCGCTTGACTTGTACCTGATTCTTCGCGAGGCATAAAATTCTACTTAGTTTCTTATTGTTATTGTTGTTGTTGCACATGGTTCTCACGTTGTGTCGCGCTAAAATTAATGTAGCCACTTTGGCTAACTTATCGACTGGCAGCGATTTACAAGCTTCGCCAAGCGGCAGACACTTAAAGGCCAAGTTTGTGTCTTAAGTCTTAAGTTGTGCTTGTAAGCATGTAAATTGCTCGGCATTTTTACACAGAATTGCGCACAATTGCTAAATTAAACGCTGAAACCCTGTAACTGGCACTCAATCAAACAATGTGAGAGAAAATAAAAAAGTCAAAAATTCCAAAAAAAAAAAAACCCAAAACACAAAAATATTTCATTTCACTTCAAAAAAGTGAAATTTTTAATAAAATAAATATTTGGAAAAAAAAAATGTTAACAAAATTCTTAGTGACTTTCGATTGTAATTTTTTGGCGAAACGAATTGCAGCAAATTTAAACTACCCCTCCAACGCCACCGTTTGGCAGCGGCCCACGCGTCGCGCTATCCACGCTCTGCATGCTTGGCGTCCGCCGCGTCTGAAACTAATCGGAAATGCCTCGACTCTTGCCAGAACTCGCATTTGCGCCCGTTCGTACGTGAATAATTGGCAGAAGAATTTCAATCGCAACAATGAACAACGCAAGACCATACCAAAATTGGTTTACTTGCATAATCCCTGGAAATATTTTGTCACAAAGTTTAATTTGTTGAGGTTACGTTTGCTGTGGGATCGCAGCTTCACCGAGCAGGACTTCGTACGTGGTTCGAAGCAGGTAATAAGTGATAATTCTATACTTTTCTTAATGCTTTGAAAGCGCGGAGATTTTTGTTGGATAGTTTCTAGTATGGTCCAACAGTTTGAATAGGTCTAAATGTTTAAGATTTGAATACCGAGTTCAACACGTCTTCTTAGTATATGTTCTGAACTTATTGTTCGAAATATGGACACTTCGATACATTCTCTTTCTTACAGTTCTTATTTCTAAATGGTCTTATAATCGCGTGGAGGCCGCAAAGGAGCTGTTTGTCCACGTAGCTGTGAACCCCACATTCGTTAAACGCATCATTAATTGTAACGAGACGTGGATTCGTGAATATGACATCGAAAATGAAACGTATTTTTTTGTCAGTCCGGGTCAAATTTGATCAGCTGTTTTTTTAGTTTTATGGATTAAAATACGTGGTAATGCATTTTATTTTTTGTCAGTTTGCATCAAATATGATCAGATGGTGCTGTAGCTTATTGGTTTTCGTGAGCCAATCTGTGTGGCATTGGGTATTTTTTCCTACCATGTTTTCAATGAGACTTTCTTACCAATATTACTTATCTTTAAGGAAATATGTCCTCATTCCCATTAACTTTATAAGGTTTACCTTCGATTAACTTTATACCTTGGTGTGAGAACTATTATAATCGAGTTAGGTGGGCCCAAGAACTTAAAAGATCGAAGAAAAAAAGAGAACGTTAATAAAGAATTATTTAATTGAGTACAACAGAAACAGCAGCAAATCCGACTTTCTGGCAGAAAGAACATATATTTATAAATATACATAGAAACAAATTCAGCCACACTTGTATTTAAGCCTCCCTTACTAGATTTTCAATATTTTTTAAATTAAATTATAATTATTAATAATGGAATCTCCTAAGCAAATAAATATGTAACAGTTTGACCGCCACTGAAATGTTTCAATTACGTCGCCATGTCTCAGATAAACGGTTCATGTCCGCACTTACAACCCACCTATCTCCATTTAGTGGAAAACATAAGTAGCTCAGACACAAACCATTTGGACAGTATTCATCTGAACCCACCACATATATAATATATATACATATATGAAAGTAAAATTTAGATTAGAAATATCCACCTAAATATTGGCATGTAGTCGTTCTTATTATTTTAGCCCACTATATTGTTCATGCCCAGATACTTGACTAGGCTTCTGAAGACTGATTAATTTTTAAAGCCGTTTCTAACGTTAGAAGAGCGATATTAAGTAATAATGATGAAAGCAGCAATACTAATTTTAGATGAAATAATCTCCAATCATCTCAGAGCTTGAAAACCCCGGAAAGTTAGCAGAATAAGGAAAATACTGTCGAAAAGTTATTAGCGACTAATAAAGATCTCCAATAAAGCATAACTTAAAAGTCGCAGAGTTTTCAACAAAAAAAAAATTTCAGTCATTCAATATTGAGAGATGCTTCTCTGCATTTCTATTTTAATAGCAACTGCTGAAGGCAGTTCGTGATATAAATATTTGGGCTAATCTGACCAGTGAGGTCAAGTGTAAAGCCAACAGAAATTGAACCATTTGATTGGGTCCTACGATTTCCATTTCTTTTGTAGGCCGAGTTCTTATCGGATGCTTTCGTATACTATATTAGTTAAACGATCACTTGTTGCAAATACAAAGTATACTGCAACCCCACCAAAAATCTTCAAATATCAACCGATTTCTAAACATTGTAAATACCTATATCCCACTTTTACTAGGCGGCCCTTGTGATCACCGATATAATACGCACTCAGAACACTGGGAAAATTAGTCAATTTACCACACCAGTTGGATTTCAACAAATCACGCGTGATATGTTACTGTCACGAAACGATTCACGACTCAAATTGGTGAAATTCGACCCGGAACATATACGCAAGGCGATACCAATGAAAGTGGCGACACGAAAGAATTTTGGTAAGAGCAAGTACAAATTATACTCGAATGGAAACCCACCACTTTTGAATTGAATATTTTTTTGTGAAATTTCAACGCTTAGGGCGCCGGTATTGCTTCATTGATATGCTCTTTGTCGGCATGCGAAATACGAAGGACTTTGATTCGCCCGAAGAGTTGGTGGAAATAAACGATATTTTGCGCAAGTTGGATCAGGACTTGCGCACACCCATTGAGGTTACCTCGGTGCCACATCGCATCGTCTTTGCCGAGATTTTCATGCGCTTCCGACGCGACTACACACCTCAAACGGACAATTCATCGAATAATGTGAGGGATCCGGATTGGTCGGTGTCGTTTTACAAAATACTCACATTCGATGTGCTCAACTACGATCCGCGACCATGAAGCTAGTCGCGAGTTAGAAGAAGTTCACTAGTGAAAGAGAAACTAGTCCGTGTTTAGAAACTCGTCGAAATTAAAATGTATATTTTAATGATTTTTTTTTTTTAATTATATCTAAAACAAAGCCAAAATTACAATTAAAGTATAAATGTACATAAGAAAGCTATGTTGCTGTATCATAATTTCTTGCAAATCATTTCAAAAAGTTTCCTTTCAAACATTCCGACTCCTTCGGCACTAACAGCGGCGTCACTGTAAATGTTTTCAACATATCATCAATGTTCTCTCGTTTGCTCATGAGCTTTATGAAATCCTTATATTTCTGATTCTCTTCCAATAGTTCACGTTTCTCTTTAGCTAAAAACAGATTTTGTGTGGAAGCGAGCGCTTGACGATGCCAAAAATTTTTCATTAGATGCATGTGCTTCAAAAGCTCCTGTGATATTGTATAAAAGAAGAATGAAAGCTTGCATTGCTGAGATTTGAAAAGCTTTTAGATTTGGTGAAAGCTTTTAAAGTTGAAGGTTAGTGAAATTGCTAAGATTTGAAGGTTGCAAAAAAGCTTTTAGACTTGGTGAAAGCTTTTTAAGTTAAAGGTTAGTGAAATTGCTAAGATTTGAAAGTTGCAAAAAAGCTTTAGATTTGGTAAAAGCTTTTAAAGTTGAAGGTTAGTTAAGTTGCTAGTAAAGCTCTTTAGTTGGAAAAAGCTTACTGTTAAAAAGTTGACGACAACCAAATGGGTAACTTCTAGATCACGGATACAAAGCTTGATCATTTTAGGGTTAAGTGCAGTAAAGAAAGTTTTGAAACCAAACGATGAAGCTTCTACAAAGATGGTATAATTACTCTGCGAAACCATTAAGAAGGTTGTACGTTCATTTCACAACCCTGATAAGTTTTCGATATTGAAGCTACGAAAATTTTGTTTGGGATGAAGACTAAAAAAAATACCAGCTTCAGCAGTAGTAGAAATTATGTTACTGACTAAGCTGGTCCATAGAGCTTTTTGAAAGAAATCATTTTTTTGACTTACCTCCTCGGACATATCAGTATGTGTCTTCAAGTTAAGAGCTTCGAGTTGAAATGTTGAATCATCGACGGAAGCCTCATCTTCATCCTTGGGAGCGACAACCTTTTCCGATTCTGTTTGTAATTTTCGGCAATTGGCAGCATGTGAGAGTAACAGCTCGCCGTATTTAAGCAGTTTTTGGTAGTCCTGTACCATATATACAAATAAATATAATATAACCTTAAAATAATATCAAAAACTGATTTTATGTGCGACACCAACCTTCTGCATGCCATAACATTCGCCAGAGAGCGTTTGTAACTTCTGAAATGTGACATTCCGATCGTAATTGATGTTTCGTTCGATACCTTTGCGTACCTGTAAAAAATACTCCTGCTCTAGGCGCAAGTCCGTGAGCTTGCGTTGCGCCTCTACTTCATTATGCACCAAATCGCGTTGCAATTCGCCGGCTGTACGTGTCAGCCGAAATTCAATATCATTCAGACGTCGCGATTCGGTGACGAAATTTCGTTGACGATCCATCAACATGTGTATGTGTTCGTATTTTTTCGTGTCGAACGAGACATTTACCAGCGAGTTGATGAAGTCGCTTAGTTGTTTGTGTAGTGTTTTCATTTTGGCGATTACCGCGTCGCGTAAGCCAAAACGCTTCTCAATTTCTGTATTCACTTCGTTATCCTGTTTCTCCACGAAGATCTCGTAGTCGGTAAGCATTTGATTTTCCACTACCAAATTCGTGGCGTGCATAATGTTTTCACAATTGACTAGGAAGCCATCCTGTATCTTTTGATGTGCGTTCAGTTCGTCCTTAAACTCTTCGATAAGTTGCTGAGCCTCAGATTCGTAGAGTTGTTTGGAAACATCGAGCAAAGTGTTGTAGCAACCTGGTGTTTGACGAGAAAAACTAATTGAGTTAAGATTTGAAAACAGTCAAAAATTATTAAAATATGCTTCAAGATGGACTTCGGCTTTTTTTTGACTATTTGTATCCATAACTCTATTGATCACAGCAAACAAATATATAAATTATATTTTCTATTTAATATGGGTTAATGGTAAGGCATAAGGCACTGAAACAAGTCTAAAAAAGTTGCCTACATTTAGGCTTGCACTGATCGAAGTCGCACACCTTTATGACTGCGCAACAAGGTGGCGAAAACTGCCAAATAAGGGAGGGTAACATCGTTTACTGTTACAATAAATACGTCTATTAAGGATTCATAAATTTATCACCAGAAGAATGAGGTTTTAGACTAAGTTTTTGGCACACATCAATAACTAAGCTTCCACCTTTTAAAGATAAAAAAAGGTCGCTACAATTACAATGCACTCATATCACTTACTGATGGCGAAATCCAACACCTGCAAATGACTTTCAAAGTTCCGTTTGTGCAACTCCTGCGTGGACTCTATATCAGCAAGTAAGTTTTGCACTTTTTCATCTTTCTGTTGCATAACACGATGGGTCTTCTTCGACCACTCCTGCGCAGAACCAAAAAAAAACAAATAAAGTAAAATAAAAGTTCAAACTCCATCAAATTCTCAATTTCTTCTGTACATACCAAAACCTCGGTCTTTAATTCCTCAATTTTAATCTCTCGACATATTTCCTCCCAATCCTCTTTGCCTCTTTTCGCCGAACGTTTAGATAATTCGAGCTCACGTTTGAGATGTTCCTAAGTACTAAATTAAATGAGATTTACTACAACTCAATGGGTAAGTTTCAACAAACCGTTATCTCCAATTTCTTAAACTCCAGCTCCCTTTGTAGTCGCAACTCACGCTTTTGTGCTTTGGTCAACTTCTTTTTCTTCTTTTTGACCGGCGCCGCTTCTGGTTGTGGTACGTCTTCTAAATAATTGACACTTTTCAATTCAGTGGCTCGTTTTGCCATATCTATAAGCTCAGCCGGGTCCATTTCTTATTTCGTTGCAATTAAATTGTTTCGACTCTCTAAAATGAAAATCCAAAAATATATATATTTTTCTTAACGAACAACCGTTTGAAAATCAATGCGAGAAAAAATATTTGATATATTATATTTCGAAGTCTTTCATATTTGAAATTAGGTGTAAAAAGCACAGCAGTTCTTCAATTCAGTGTGAGTACTTTTTCTGATCATGCTTGAAAGAAAATATACCCGGAATAAATATTTTTAGAATACTTTTAAAATTGATCATAAGGTTGAAGCCATAGTAAATAATTTTCGGGATATAAATCAGTCAGTAACAACCACCTGCCATAGACCAAGACGTTAGTGATTTTCAACAGGCTTGAATGGCCGATTGAACTTTTAGATGAAATCAAACACGTCGCCCGTTGGCTGAATGATCACCAATCCGGGTTTTCACAAGAAAAATTTGTTCAGCATGAAGCTCACTTTGCGTTTTATTTCTTCTTGAAAACCACTTGCCTAAAACTATATCCTTTATTATACAAAGCAAGTAACAATGAAGATACTGCAATAAAACATTGCACAAAATAGGGCCTTCAAGCTTTTGAACTAAAAATGGTTTCAAGCCCCCCCAATCTGTAAGAAATCTTAAGTTCAGTACTTACACAAGGCCCATATATATGCCTAATAAAAGTATTTTCGAACTTCCGGGTGACTCTGGACCAATTTGACTCCGACTGGTCTATTTAAATTGCGCGCGCAAACCGAATCGATACAATTTTGGTTTTCCTTGTTTTCGAAAATTTTCTTCATGTGCATCGTCCATCCATCTCTGTTAATGACGATGACATCTAGAAAGTTAGAAAAAGCGTGCTCGAAAATAAAAGATTTCAGCATCTTTTATGGATCGACTCAGCACATTTTGGTTAATGTTTTGGGTGTGAAGACCTGAATCCTTTCCAAAAACGACGTCGAGTAGAGGTCTCAAAGGCGATGCTTAACAGCCTAGCTGTAAACCCTACATTATGAAAACGCATCATTACTGGTGCCGCGACGTAGGTTTATGAAAACAATGACGCTGAAAGCTTTGAAGACCATCCCAGCCGAGGCTTAAAACAAGTGTATGGAAAATTGAATTAAGGCCAAGAGCTTAGTTTTGGAACGATAATAAAGATTATTATCAAAACACGAGAAAATGTAGTGTTTATACCCTGAACAGTGCATATTAAGTTTGCTACGAAGTTTGTAAAACCCAGAAGAAAACGTTGAGGATCTTATAAAATGTATACATACAATAAATGATTAGCATAATGAGCTGAGTCGTATGTCTGTCTGTCTGTGTATATGCGAACTAGTCCCTCAGTTGTTGAGATATCGATCTGAAATTTTGCAGACATTCTTCTGTCCCCAAGAAACTGCTCATTTGTTGGAAACGCCGATATCGGACCACTATAGTATATAGCTGCCATAGTAACTGAACAATCGGAATCAAGTGCTTGTATGGGAAACTTTTTCATTTGACGAGTTATCTTCACGAAATTTGGCATGGATTATTTTCTAAGGCATAATATTCGAAGAAATTGTTCAGATCAGATCTCTTTATAATATAGCTATCATACAAATTGAATAATCGGAGTCAAGTGCTTGTAAGGAACCTTTATATTTGTGAAGGGTACTATAGCTTAGGTGCAGCCGATGTTAACGTTTTCTCTTGTGTTTTGTTAGTATAGGTCAAATTTGATCGGATGATATATGTATAATAAAATATCTCTCCAAACATTAGTGCGCTGTGAGCCAATAAACATTTTATCAAAGCACACGCTTTTTTCAGCTATCACCCCATAAAAATAACTCTCAGCAGTAGAAACAGCAGGAGGTAAATAGTTGACTAGATATTTATAACCCGCATGCACCGAGTGCCTACATACGCACATATGTACATATAAGTATGTGTGTGTGCTTATGTGGAGTTGTTTTTGTGCTAATTCATGCTTTGAATGAGTATTGTAGAGATTATAACTTCAAAATCGACACTTTCACTCTTGCCAAACGCACACTATCTTTATGATCTAACGGCTAATTACTTAACAACGGTATTTTTTCAAAAATCAACACATATGTGGGTGTGTGTTTATAGTATAAGCGAGGATTGATAAGGCTCATACGCCGTGGCGTTCTTAGAACACCAAAAGCTGTCAATGTGTGTGTGTTTGTGCGTGTTTACTATCAGTCGCTGCGGTAAATTCTGATAAGCCTTTAATGCCTGCTTTATTTTTCTTTATAGTGGCTTGTAAAACCAGTTGGAAAAGTTTAATTACGCCAATGCCTTCGTGTGTTCGTAACTGTGTATCAATAAACGACACGATCAAGCGACCAAAAGCGAATTGCGTCGACTTTTGAGAAAAGAAAGTTGGAAGGCAATAGTTCAAGACGCACGTCAGTCGCTTTTTGAGACTCGAATGCTGAAGGCGGCATAACGCAGCTGTGGCTTTGTGCGCTGTACTAGTTGTTGTTGTACTTAATTATTGTATGGCAATAATAACTTTGAAGTTGTAACAACAAAATCGGCTAATAATCAATTGAATGTGCGGATAGGAGTAAGTGAACGCAGGCGGAATTTTAAATTAAGCAAAAATATTTATATATTTACCGTAAGTGAGACCTGAGTACATGTGTATACGGAACGCAAGCCGACAGTTATCAGGTAATTTAGGCATGTTATTGTTGGAAATATACCCATAGGTGTATTTGTAGCCAAGCTTGTAGCCCGGCTTGAAATGCCTGTGGCGTTTTGACACACTACACACTTTTATATATATATTATACATATATATATATATATATATATATATATAATTATATATTTCCTCCAAGTGTACATCGTGAGCGTGTCTTGCCTGCTAGCTTCGGCTCGAAGCCGACTTTTTTAGCAATCAGTGTACTTGCACAGCTGAGCCGCGTCAAACGTGTTTCATTTCGGGCGTTCAGCGCGGTACCGTCTACGCACAGCGCAAAAAAGATCGCGTCAAATTTGCTTTAGTGTTACAATACCCGGTTTGGTTTGGCTTTCGTTTGTGTCGGTTTGTTGGAAAATCACACTACGTGTGTGCAATTCTTACGACGGTCTTAAGCGTGTGTCGCAAACAAAGGAAAATTATACAAGTGAAGGTCATTAATTAATTCTTATGTTAAGTATGCAAAATAGTTTTCTTCTAAACGAGAAGGAATGAAAAATGTGTGTAAATTGCACCTATGTATTAGAAAGTGCAGGAGAGCAAGCAAGTGTGCAGAGAGTGACTTGTTATCTTTATATTCAAACTGTGAACATAAAATCAAGCTTTGATTTACCTGCATTTGTTAAAGTTGAAGTCTGCAAAGTTTTGTGTTGAATAAAAATTTTAAACTCACAACAATTAGGTTAACTGTCTTAATTAATTCCAGGTTGCCAAAATAGCAACAAGTTACCATTATAAATTTTAGTGATTGTCTTTTGAGTGCGAAAATTATACATTCATAGATATATATCATTTAGACAGGAACACATATAAAGCATAAAGTCTTAAAAAGTCAGCTCAACTTAAACTAAAGTGTAAGAAAATAAAATTTGAAATATTTAAAAAAAAAATCGTAAACTTCTCAGTGAAAAAAAACAAAAATAAATTTTAAATCAATTTAAAAATTATTAAAAAAAAATATTTTTAGTTTAATTATTAAGGCTGCAGCGAAGCTATAATACCTTTCACAGTGCGTTTCTTATAGCAAAGAAGGCTAGTAAATGATTTTTGTCGCTAAGTTTGTATGACAGCTATATACAATAGTGGTCTTATGTGAACAATATATTCGAAGATGGTAGTGGTACCTCGGAAAATGATCTGCGTCAAATTTTATGAAGATATTTTGAGAAATGAAAAAATCTTCCATAGAAAGACTTAAGTTTAATAGGTCAGTTTGTATGGCAGCTATATGCTATAGTTGGCCGATATCGGGGAATTCAACAAATGGGCAGCAACTTAGGGAGAATAATACATGTGCAAAATTTCAGATTGATAACTTAAAAGCTCAAGTACAAGAGGGACTGGGCTAAATCGATTACGTTTCCGCGTATATGTAGATATCAAAATGAACTGAAAAACATTAATTAAATCTGTCATAATTAGTATTAAAATTAATTTATACAAGGTCTAACGGTATCTAGTAATATTTAAGTTCTTACATATTATATACATATGTATGTATATTAGAGCGTGTTGATTTACAGAAAATTACATATAATTAAAGGAAGGCAGCCGGAAAGTAAAATAACTGAATAATCGGTTGTATTGGAGATATGTGATATAGTTGTCCGATCTGGCCGATTCCGACATATGAAAGAAAAAAGTGAAAATAAGTGTACAAATGGATTTGTAATAAAGCATAAAATACATTATTATTAAAAAATATATATATATTATATATGCTAAAATTTTCAAGAGCGATTTTTGCTTAAATTTGGTGCGATTGATTTTCTCCATACATGGTAGATACCAACTGATCCAAAGATAGTCAACTTGGATTCATCTGAGGAAATTACAATCTGTTACTGTACTTATGACAACAATCCAATTTACCATTAGTTGGGTCAGAAAAATTTTTTTATCTCCGGCCGTTGAATCCTACCTCTCTGTGCCTACGGCAAACAGTTGAGGCATTCACTATAACTCCTGTCGCATCACTAAGGTTTTTTCACTTTGTCTGCCTTTTTTTTTAATGTAGTAGTATTCAATACCGTCGGTTGAGTCTGTCTTGGCCGACTGTGTTGAAATTTACTACAGTAGTCTTACCGAATTTAATATACAAAAAAAAAAATTGCATCATAATCCAATTAGGACAGCGAACTTACTCAAAATTAAAGCTTGTGCAACTGTATACAACTGCTTCTACAAAAATTCGACTGCACTTAACTCTCACGCAGCAATCATAAGACAATTTTAAACTTTACTTTCTTCGTATTATATAATAAATACAAAATTATTGCAGCATAGGTCTCATAGACCTTGTGAGCATAACCTTAATTAATGTCGAACATTCACTAAGCTTGTATTAACTGCTTTTGATTAGGCGTTTCTTTGCTAATTACGTTTAATCTCTGCTTTATGTGAAGGCAACAACAGAGTTATCCAATTGAATTTAATACTAGAGCGTATATAATAGATACCTCATTAATGTGGTCATAATCGTTTAGTCTACTAGTTCACAACTCGCTACACTTTTACAGCTTGAAGACAAACATATTTGAATGTGTAATAAATTTTTTAGAAATTTAAAAATAATAATTTAAAATTAAAAACTTTATTTATCTTCCCATGTTTTAGTAAGATGGAGCTAAAGAGGATAACATGCTCTACTATATTCCCAGAATTATGCTTATTTATCAATTTTTGCACTACAATTGGTCCTTCCGTACTTCATATAAATATTTTAAAAATATATTATGGCAACTCAGAGCTGGATTTCATCTATAAATTATTAAGTTTAAATTTAAGGCTTCTGTAGGTTGATTCTATCTAAAACAAATAAAAAAAAGATTTCCGTCTACTGTAAGGATTCAAGAGATATTTGTTGATAATAAATAATTAGCCATCTCCGTTTAGTTATGAGTAACTAGAGTAGGAGCAACGAATTTTGAATATGTTGAAAAGAGATCAATAAAAGCACCTTTTCTGTTGAAGCTGTTAGAGAATTTTGTGTTTATGGGAGTTGCTCAGGGATCCTTGTAAAAGCTGTGATCAAAGCTGTTATGAAAGCTTTCGGCAAATGAGCATCCAGTAGTTCAAAGCTCAGCTTAAAGGCAGATAAAACAGAAATTTCAAAGAGAAAACTAGTTTGAGCATACTGAAGTTGCGGCTTGTGGTTCGGATAAAAAAATGTATATATGTATATTAGGGTGGAGCGAAAATTTTTTTTTTTTAACAACTAGAGGTAAATTTTCGAGTTAAATTTTTATTTTTGATAAGTGTTCTTGAAGCTGTGTAGAGTCCTCTTTCTAGCAAATCAAAAGTTATCAACTTAAAAAAAAAATTTTGTGGTCATTATTGGAGTTTTAAAAAAAAGTCTTAAACGACAACATGCTTTCCTTAAGCGTTAAAATAAATTTTGAGTCAAAAACCGTCACATTCGGTGAATTTTATATAAATGCGAAGTGTTTAAACTCAAAAAAAAATTATTTTTTTTCAAAATTTTAACTCGAAATTTACTTTAAAACTGAGTGGGCCTCTAGATGTTAAAAAAAATTTTTTTTGTCCAAAAACTTTTTTTTTTAATCTACAGATTTTACCCTCAGGCTAAGCAAACAAAAATTTTTTCGCTCCACCCTAATGTATTAACATATAAAGATATCTGCAGAGCTCAAAATTTATTGAAATATAATTAATGGTTTTGCCTTCGGCTAACACGATTCGAATTACATTCATACAAATACATGCTTTTATATAATGCCTTTATACACCATATGCTTATATTAATATATATAAAATATATACATTGTTGAAACTTGTCAAAGACACAAAACATTTATTTAACAAAACAATAAATCACTTCAAAATTGTTAATAGCAAATTTTTTTTTTGTTATTGTAATTAATTGCTTGTTTTGTCTTGGAAAAGCACTGAAATATTAAGCAAGCACTTGATAAAGTATTTTTGTAGTATTATTGCTATTTAAATAAAATATCTCACAGTGTTACTGCCTTGTAAGACAGTGTTAGCTCGTTAATTTACCGTTTTCATCTTTTTTACTTAATTTATTTTTACTTAAAAAGTAAATTGCCGTTTTGCCTGTGGATATAACTGTATTTAATCAACACCAAATGTGTGACGTACGCAAGTCTGTATGTACGAGTATGTGTATTTATTTGGCAGCAACAATTGTTGTTGACATTTATTTTGAGTCGATGAACTTTATTGCAAGTGCATTACTGTAAATGAATCTATAACTTCTCCTGTTTAGATATGTGTGTCAAAAAACATACATTTTAAACGAAATTTTTAAAAGTCGGGAAATAAAAATCCCCGTTCAACGAGTTTATTTTTCAGCAGTAAATTTATAAAATGAAATAAAAAATATTTCACTGAACTCAATCAGTTTTAGAACGTGTTTAAAATTTGAGTTATTTCACTTTTTTACAACTCAAAACTATAAACATTTTGGAGACTGAGACAACAGACGAAGCCTGAACGGAGTCGTCTGCCTTCACGCTGAAATTTCGAACATATTTTTGATGATGGATTATAAAACATGCATATGATATTTTCACAAAGTAGATTTTAGCTGCACAACCTTGAAACTAAAAATAAAACTATAACAAAGTGTTTGCGATCTAAACAAAGTGTGTTTTCTGAACTTGTCAGTTCAAGTTAACTTTTAGTTAAAAATTACTATAATAAATCGAAAAAAAGTTCGAAGAAAGCTCGTGTCTAATGCTTTATGAATCCGCAACAATTCGCAGATTTCAAATATCATTAATCGTTTTGTCGGTATAGTGTCAACAATTGAAAAAAACACTATTTTTGGAAATCTCGTAAGCCAATATGCTTTTTTTTTAAATCCACGACAACTTAAACATTCGAAAAAAAACGAAAATTTCGATTAAAAAATTTTAAAAACCAAAAAAAAATTATTTTAAGGATTTGAAATGGACGAACTTTTATTTTATATAAAAAAAAAATAAAAAAATACAACTGAAATCCAAATCATTGAACTGATCATAATTAGATCAAAAACTCGCAAATAATATTTAATGGTTAAAAATAAAGATCGATATTTCGTTTGAACATCAATTTCAGCCAATACATCCGGTTCGTCGAAGATATCACACACATCCCAGATAATGCTATTTTGACTTAGCGAAAGCTGCACAGTTGAGAAGAAAATTACGAGATGCTTCCTCAACTATGATAATTAGCCTTCGTTCAAAAGGTTTAATCGCACCTTGCTTAGAGCAAGTAGTTCAAAATATTTTTTGCTCACATATTTCTGTAAATATTTGTGACAGAGTTTTTGAAGTCGACTGGATGATAGATGAAATGAATTGAAATTTCCAGGAGATAACATGCGGTTAACGAGAAAGGGAACATAATATCTTCCATATTACATACAAAAGAATTTGTGATCACACTGACATTTGTTTTCGA